TGAGTATACAAGATTACGGCATTTATTGTGATTATGTCAGTGTGATATCTGGTCAAGTTTAACAATGCTGTTGTTTTTAAGTAAATGAAGGGAATCAGTTTTCAGCGCTCTTCCCATACTTGCACTACAGTATCTTCAAAGGTTCAGATTACGACACACGAATTTCGAATATGGAACACGTTATGAGCAGTATGAATCTGCACTCAAAATGTCAATTTGGTAATCCACTTTCCATTCGTTTTTTTTTGGTTCATTTCACACATCATTCGAACACTGTTTTATTGACCGATAGCAAGAGCGAAGCTACGCGATTTTACGAAAGCCGATGTAATATTCCACTAGATCAGAGGAAATTGGCTCTTTGAAATTTCTTGAAAATGTTATTTCAAGTAATATTCAAATAATCTGTCTTCTTTGGGTTCAACTTTTTTTTGTGCAATAGGACTGAAATATTAATCCAATGAAAATAAATATTCATTTGATGCGACTATTTTGATTGCTGTTTATATGGACTAATGAGAATTAATTATTGGAGGCGCATACGATGAGATATATTCAATTCACAGAACATCACCCACCAATGAAGCACAATTACCTTCACACAGGCATGCCGGTTACATTGTGATCAGTTTTAAAATACTCGAGGAACAAACGCGGGTGCGTTTCGTTTGTCGCTAATTTCTGTTGCTAGAATTCAGTTGTTTTAGTATTCTCGCAGTCATTATCAATAAGTTGAGCGAGCACTTGACAGATTAAAACAACACTTTCATGTGCTGTCTATGCACCTTTACCGAAGCACATCAAAAATTAATCTAGAAGAGAGATAATGATTAGAAAATTAAAAAGAAGTCACATTTACGTGATTATATAAAAGTTCTTTTCGTTACTCTGATGCTGACCAATATCAGCCGTTTATCATTTTGATTACTTGATTGATTGCTTGATGGCTCATTTTCGTGATCAATAATCTGATTGCTGCAATGCTGAAGAAATATTCGAAATGAAAATCGATCACTGCGATATTTTGTCAGTTATTTTGAGAAACACACAAATCTTCAATCATTTAGGAATGCTGAAATCAATCATGAATTCATGCTCACGTGAATTATTCTCTTTTCAGCAAGATGCTCTTGAGAAATCGTGGTTAAGTTGGTCGGGCGCACGTGAAATCTACAAGTATTCATCAAGATCCTGGAACCTCAGACGTATCTCGCTGCATAAAATCCCAAAACGAAGGTATAAAAAGGAGTCCGTTCTGCTTATTGGCTTCAAATTTTTATTTACACACTATTGAATCAGAACTGATGTAAGATGAATGAATCCAGCAATGCGTTTGTACAATACATGTAATTCGACCATCTGATCATTCGAACATAACGATTGAGAAGAACTCAGTAGTAACTTTAGTCAGTATCTTAAGTCAGTAGTAGCTTAAAAGAATTTTTCGCCATGTTTCGTTGCTGACCATAGCCGTGATTCGGTGACCATAGCCGTTGCAGAATTCATGCATCTCGCTCGTTCGCTTATGTGATGATGTGTGAATTTGGTAGTATATTGCATCCATCGAATCGACTGCAAGCGTTGGATATGTGCGAACGATTAAGAGTTCGTAACTGCGGATATATCTCCCTATATCAGATAAGTTCTTATCGTCTCTTGTCGGCTATCCATCCTCATGACAATTTTTTGTCGGATTTTGCCCAATTTCTATCATCGGACTTCTACTCGAATCAATCATTCATTAGATTACAACGAAGTTTTTCTTTTTTTTTCAAACTTCTTAATATGGTGATTTTTATTTGTGTTGTTTTAAGTGCAGTGG